TTATTACATATTAATTTATATTATTATCATATTAAAACTTGGGTTGACTTTGTAGTCAGTGCAGTGTATTTACAGCTTTGGGTTCCTCAGATTATCTGTAAAATGGCCACAAAACAGTCCTAATGTTTGTGTGTTTGTTATTGTTCAGTGAGATTTTACACTGTAATCATACAACTATACATGCATCCACGTACAATTATTTGATATTCTGAAAACCACCTTGTCAACACCTTTTTGTTTTGAACAAACACGTCTTTAAAGCAACAAGAAGAAGAAGAAAGTGACAACAAAGTAACAAAAGCAATTTTGTGTCAGGAAGGTTTATTGACTTTGAATTTCTATGGAAGAATTCCAAATATATTCCCACAGTTTAAAACACATTCAAAATTGCATCAAATGTGTATGTATTTAAGCTTTTAGTATTTTCCCGTCTTTACAAATATTTTAAATGTAACAGGTGTTAATAAAACTTTATAAAAGGCGCTGCTTTTGGCGAGTTGTAAGCTGTAGTACACACGAATGATGAACAGAGAACTGCAAAAACACAAGATAAAACCTCTGAGACACTTAAATACAAACTTTGATTTGACACGCTGAGCAAAGGGCAAGTGACATCATTCACATTTCAACAGGGCGACTCATGTTTCAGTTACATTTCTGCTGTTGAAAATCACACGTTACACCGAATTCAGCTTGAAACCAATAACTTTAAACAAAACGGACCCACACAGGAGACACGGATGCTTTTTGTAATGTTGCAAGGCTGTTGGCTTTGTGCTGCTGGAGCTTTCTACGATCTATAGATCATCCCTAGTCTAAACCAGCTATTCTAGGCTTTCCAACCATTTCCACACTCAAACCCACTTTGCATACAAACAGTTCATGAGGTTAAACTAGTGCATATATCAGGTAATGTTGAGACATTAAAAATGGAAAGCAGACCAAAACCTCCACTCAAGCCAAACTTTAATGTAAATTCTGAATCTTCTCAGATTCTGTGTGCATGTGCACTTACTGCTGACCTAAAACCACATCATTCATTCTGATAGCAGGTGACAGAGGAGAGAAAACTGCCTTGGCCCAACATTTGGAAGTTTGCGGTGGTCACTGCATCACACACTTCTCTTTCTGTTGTTTAGCATACTTCCTCCTGCGCTGCTCCAGGCCACGCTCCAGACGCTCATCCTCCTCCACGGCTCTGAGGACCAGAGGAGAGATGGTTACAAGCTGCCTCCACATGTTTTTGTGTTGGGAAAACTGTGGATGTCCATTTTTCTTTAAAAGTGTCTTTCAGTTATGAGTGAGGTGACGGCAGCTCGAGAGGAAGAGCGGGTCATCTTCTAACTGGAAGGTTGTGCTTGTATGAACGTATATGAATGGCTGAGACCTTATAAGGCACTCTGACCCAGGTCATTTACCATGTACAAACAGAAGGTGAGGTCAGTTAAACAGGAGTAAATTCCTCATCTACTGATGAAACTACTGATGTTATCACCGACTTATTGCTGAGTCAAGAGGTTCAATAAAAAATGCAAAAAAGATGGAAGATGTTTGAAAGCTGAATATGAAACCGTGATTTGCTTCCAGGCTCGTTGTGATGTTTCATACAGGCTAATGAAATTCACTTTTTAGTTGAATCTGAAAGTGTAGGATAGTTTATCATGTGTGTATCGTGTGTCTCACCCTCTCTCCTTGGCATCTATACTGTGGACCAGTTCATCCCTCTGGTTCACCAGTGACACCAGCTCCTGAAGCAGCAGCTGCTCTCTGTGTTTGTGGGCCTGAGTCTTCTGCCACTCTGCAGCACACAGACACAGAGAACAGTTTAAGGAGGAAACGAGCTGTAACCAGCTGCTTTTTACTTGTTTCTGTATAGACGAAGTCTGCAACAGAGACCTTGTCACGGCGGTGTGAGGAAAGAGGTAGACCCAGATGCAGTCACGGTGGAGACAAAACGTCGTTTCAAAAATAAAGCGAGCCTTTATTGGCTGATTGCAGAAGAAAAACAAGGAACTAGGGAAACTAAGGAGGCTATGAACACTGTGTTAACAAAAAGGCT